CGGTTATGTGGTATTTCAGTTATGGATATTATATAAACCCGATAAAGACCTAAAACTCAAAACCCAGAAAGTCGAACTCGGATATCAAGTTATTATTTTAAGATAGCATTTGAAATTTAAATAAATAACTTAAGCACTCATTTTCATTTCATTTTAATATTATATCTAAATGATTCCAAAATAAACTCAGTTTTAATTTACATAGAAATATAAAATTTACCGAATATTATTGACCTAACCCTATATAAGCATATATATAATCCGAATAGAGTCTAGGAGACTAAATCTAAAAATCCAATTTGAACGGATACACAAATTCAAACCTAACTCAAAGGTTAAGTTGCTGTAACACATCCGAGGCAAATGGAAAATTATAGATTGAATGAAACAACCATGGAGACAAACGTGCATGTAAAATATTTTTAATCGACACCACGTACCTCTTTGTGTAATTAGTGACAAAATACGGTTAATGTTTATTGATTCGTATTAGTGTGCAACTATATTGAAGTATGGAGTATACAAGTGGGTTAGTTTAGGCATTAAATGTGGGGTCCAAAGAGAGACAGTGGAGACTTCAACAATGCCGGTTGCGTGAGGAGAAGGTAAAGGTCATGTCCAAATAATACAATGTGGATTTGTCGTCAACGAAATTCATGATATCGACTTCCTTTCTTATAAAGAACATAGAGTTTATCTTGGATCTTCTTTTTGTATATATAACATTATTGTTCTTCAAGTTAAGATAATTAATACTTCGGTTGTATATAATTTTACGGAACACTCTATAGGCATGTAATTAAACTAAAATGCAACAATGATATTCTAGTAGCTCATACTTTAGCCTGCTAATAAGTTCTGCTACAACAGCCAATTACTCATCTGAATACTTACCAATAATCTAAATTTTTACAGTTTCACGAAAGCTTTTGGATTACCACTAATTTTTATTGTTATTCAACATTCAGATCAAAAGATTAGAACCATAAATGTCTTGGATTTCACGTTATTCTTCATCTTTTCTATTTTCATATACTTTTAAAATAAGCTGGAATTTGCAATTCATAATCGCTAAATCTCATCTCCATTTCCTGATTTGAACACAGATACTATTATTCTGTTCTTTAATGACTATGACGTCCTGAGTCTGAAATTTCATTCAACTCATTAGACTGAGATCCAAATCGTATTAAATTAATCTTTTCAGAGAGTATACATTTCCTAATGAGAATCAAACATATGACAGCCTTAAATCATACTAGATAATTCTCCTAACGATGAGTGTACTTACAAATATGAAAAAAAAAAATACTTACAAATATGAACTATATGTTCAATGAGAAGACAAGGATCCTTATTCATGGATTATTTGATTTTTATGGAAGACGTGAAATGATATTTTTTTCAGAGAAATTTTAAGGGATCCGTTAGAATTGGTTAGTTATGCGAAGAGTGAATGCAATGCTTGGTTTAACCAAACAAAAAAATCGACTGAGAAAAATCAATCTACACGAATGAATATATAAATCATAAGCTTGCAAAAAAATATGTTTGGTAGATGGATCTTAAACAGTTGAAGCAAATCGCAAAGATTATGGTTGGATTTAGAGGAATGAATCAGGAAATGAGCAATTCTTAGAATTAAAAACAAAAAAAAACATGTACTTTTTTGCATTTAAAAATGAAAGCATTAATCTGGGTGATGAAAAACATGTTACATAACATGAATTGCCAACATTTTTGGATTGATTGCAAGAATTTACTATTAAGGATTCAAGATCTGAAAAACTGGCAGGAGTTGTTCCACATAATTAAGGGAGTTTATTGTATTGAGGAAAACATTTCCAGCATTCAAGATATACTACATACCACAAATGCATAATTGTAAATGGTTTAGTTAGGATTGTGTGTAATTTCTATAATAATTTATCATTTGTTGTTATTCATTCTGATCAAGATTTCTAGATCACTTCAAATTTAAATAACAAAACAACTTTTTGGTGTTAAAAAAATCATACTCGATAATCCAAAAAAATTACTTACTATGCCAACTAGTGTAATTTATTCAAATTGGTTAAATATTACTATTTATTGTATGTACATTGTGATGTTTTAAATTTTTTAAGTATTTTAACATATATTAATTTTGTACAATGGAATAAGAAGGATAATAATATTATTTTTTTGGTTGACTAATATTCAATTAGTATTAACAGACTTGTATTTTGATCTTCACATATGAAACTGGACGTAATTGACAAATAAATAAATTGTAGGGCTATTAGTTGAAACTTCCGTAACGTTTGGGGTAATAACAGAATCATTTGAAATTTATAACTCTCGTAGAGCGAAGACGAAGAAGAACCTCTCTCTCTCACACTATCAGAATCTGATCCCAACCTTTCTTTGATTCTCAGTCCCAAAAGGTACGATTTTTCTCTTCCTCCGTTATAGATCGGCCTTAGATTCGTCTTTCCTCGGTTATTGAATCGGTAGATCTCCAACAATTTCTTGTTTTTTTTTTGTGTGATGCCATGTTTGATATATGGATCGGATTGATTTTAGATCTGTTTCTCGATCTGATTGATGAAAGTTGTCATTTTTATGATGTGGGTCTCAGTCTTTGGTCTGAGTTTGGACTGTAGTGGAGCTGATCTGAACAGTTCTGTGTCTCTGTCTGCATGTATAGAGATTGTTAGCTGTCGGTTTCAGTTCATAACCTTTTGTTGCATTCTCTTTCTCCTTGTTTGAGTTATGTTTGTGAGTAAGCAGGGAAATGTAATAATATTTTGAGTTTTCCTCTTTTGTTGTTGTTGTCAGAAGTTGGAAATGGAAGGGACTGTGTTCACGCCATGTTTGGAAGGAATGAAGAATGTCAAATCTGAGCAAGGGGAGATGCTAACTAAGCCTTTTCTAGACCTCTGCAAGACCATCTTGCCTGTTATAGGTACCATTAATATGCTTTTGAGTAGAGCTTCTGATATTTTATGGGTGATATAACAATATAAGCTCAAAGTTTATCATGTGATTGTCTGTTGTCGTTTTATGCAATAATACTTTTCTTTACCTTAAATAGACAAGTGTTGTGTTTCCTGTTTAGTGACTTCATTTTCTTTCGTTTTTGTTTTTCCAGATAAGTTTGGAGCCGCTATGACTCTCGTGAAAGCTGACATTGGTGGCAACATATCGGTAAAATTTTCTTGTTGTTTCCATGATTTTGGTAACATTGTTAGATCACAAATCCAGTTAGCATTCATAGTACAAACCATTGATAAAGATTTATTGTCTGGCTCTGCTCTTACTCTTCGTACCTAGTAATGTGTAACTCTGACCTCTCTGTATTGGATTCTTGTCTTACTATATAAAATTGTTGGTTCGGTCTCTTGTGTAGAGGTTGGAGAAGAACTACTTGTCGGATCCCGACAAGTACAAGTACTTGTACACCTTTGTTCAAGGTGAAATTGAGTCTAAGACAGCAAAAGGATCCTCTAGTTGTACCAACGGTCTTCTCTGGTTAACCAGGTAGGCATGTAAACACATTACATATCTTTGTTACGAATAGAGCTTCTTTCTAAGAAAACAGATATATATTGATTCTTTCAGAGCAATGGATTTCTTAGTGGAGCTGTTCCGCAACTTGGTAGCACATCAAGACTGGCCGATGTCACAAGCTTGTGGTGACTCTTACCAAAAAACACTCAAGAAATGGCATGGATGGCTCGCCAGCTCTACCTTCTCTGTATGAACACTTACTTTTGCGCCTTTATCTCCTTTTTCTGCAAACCGATTCTCAATTTGATTTCTTGATTGTAAACTCTTTTTTATTTTGTTGGTCAGATGGCTTTAAAGCTTGCTCCAGACAGGAAGAAGTTCATGGATGTTATTTCTGGTTCTGGTGACATATACGCTGACATGGAAAGGTTTTGCACCGAGTTTGGTCCGTTCCTTCAAGAAAATCATAAGTTTCTGGTAAACATAGACACTCTATATAATCTAAGTCATCCTAATGTCTTTAGATTTCATCACTTTATTTCATTCTCTTGTTCTTGTTTTCTTTCTTTTATTTTGCAGGCTAGCGTTGGTTTGGATGACTTGAAAGCTTCTTGAGCATCATCATATGATTATCACTTGTATCCAATCTTGTGTCTGTCAGAAAATTTGTCTGTTTTAACGTTTCTCCTTTGGATTCTAAAACTTTTAGTCTCTCCAAAGAAACAGAATAATGTGTCTGATTTCTATCTGAAAGCACTTTATATAACAAGTTATAAACTTACGAATTAATCTTCTCAGTAATTCCTAAGAAATGTTTTAAATATTTGCAGAGGTTACATAATATGTATACTTACAAATGTAGGTATCTAAGTACTACATTACAATTCTTAGATTTGGGACGTAGAAAGAGATTAAAAAATCAAATACATGTTTAGACATGCATGTGTTTATTAATAGTATATATGTTCTGGTATGGTCCTTTTTTTCTATTTCCGTACGACCCGGAAGATCCTCATGACAACTTGTTTCCCATGGAGGGTTTGATTGACTCTACGTTGCCTCCATTACCATCAACATTCTAAATATAAAACTACAAATTACCTGTAAATTAAAGCTTTGATAAGAAAAGGGAAAAAAAAAATCTATGGTAAAGATAAAAACTTAGTGCTCTCCCTCTTCTTCCTTTCTCTTGGTTGAGATTACAACCAATAACGTCTGAGGGATCTCTTGATCCCTTCTCTCTCTCTCTCTCTCTTCGTCAGAAAACTTTCAACATTTTTTCTTGTCAAGAAAAAATCTATGCGTTCAAGGTTTCTAGTCTTTTCAGATTACACTTATATCCTCTAATATATTAGTTTGTGCCTTGCGACATGTTCTTGATTTGTTGCTTTTCCTGCAAGTTTAGGTTTACGGGAGTTGCAAAGCTGTAACAATCGTTAAATCTTGAACGTATAAAGCTTGTCTCCGGCGTGTTACACTAACCGGAATCAAAACGTTTCATAAGAGTAATGGCAACGACTATGAAAGGCCTTCTTAAGGGTCTTCGTTACATTACTCAGATTTTTGGTTAAGTCTCATCATCATTTCCCTTGCTTTTCTTGCGCTACAAGTCATATTAACCGTTCTGTTTATTTACAGACGAAGAGAAAGAGCAGGAGATGCAAATAGGGTTTCCCACTGATGTAAAGCATGTTGCTCATATCGGTTCTGATGGTCCAGCCGCCAATACTCCAAGCTGGGTACGGTCATCATACATAATATTTGTCTCAATTTATACAAATGTAAACTCATTATGTCCTTTCCCGCAGATGAATGACTTCAAACCTCAAGAACATGAGAATGCTCAAATCGTTTCAAGAGGCAACTCCAACAAATACAACCCTCAAGGTTTTTATATCTTTTCTCTGCCTAAGGTATTGTCTTCTTCAAGTTCTAACGTTTATGTCAACAGACCAACGTGGAGCGGGGCTAAAAGAGCTACTTCCTCCAACTGAGAAACTGAAACATAAACACAGACGTAAACCAGGAAGCAGCGGAAGCGTTGCATCAACAGAGGAGCCAGCGAAGCAGTCATCAAGACATAACCGAAGCAAACACGGTTCAATGGACTCATCATCGAGTGATCAAGAACCTTCGGTACGTAGAAGGCGTAGTGGTGGTGAAGGCTCTACTAATCATATGCTTCTTCCTGATGGTTCTTCAGCTCCTCCACGGAAAGGTAAACCTCGGAAACAAAAAGGATCAATAGGAGGAGAAGGATCGGTGAAGAGATCATCAAAAGGAAAACCAGAGACTGAGAGTTGATTTAATACCACCTGTAACGATTATACAATTAAAAAATATACGAAAAGACATGAAATGTAATTTTCTTTTTTAAACGAGTTTTGTCTAATCTTGAAGGGGGAAACAAAAAAAAAAAACACAGTTTCTGATTCCAAACTCACAAAGTTCTCTCCATTGAAGGAAATGTATTAAGAAAAGAAATTAACAGCATATGAATTCATCTATTTCTTGCGAAGATCGATGCCAGCTTTCTTGGCAACAGCATCGAGACCGTTCTTCTCAATGGTCTTTAAAGCCTTAGTTGATAAACGAAGCTTGACGAAGCGTTTGCCAGCTTCCCACCAAACTTTCTTGTACTGTAAGTTGACGAACTGCAACTTCTTGGTCTTGTGGTTAGAGAAGGAGACTTTGTTGGCTCTGTTCGCTTTCTTCCCAGTAAAAGGACATATCCTCCCTGACAACAAACAAAAAAACAGTTATAAAGACAAAGTAAGAGCCAAATGTTTCATGTATAGGATAAGTCATTAGCTTATTACAAGACGAGAAACCGGAACTTAAAACACACTTGTTGGTAATTAAGACATAACTTGAGAAGAATCCAACACACAAGCCTACTTGAACAATTCTAAATACAAAACAGTTTGAAAAATCCAAATGTTTTTACAATCAGAGGTTTTCACAGAGATAATATCAAGTCATTAGCTTATTACAAGACTAGAAACCGGAACTTGAACAAGACATAAGTTGAGAGAATAATCCAACACACACAAAAACGCCTACCCAAACAATTCTAAAATACAAAACAGTTTTTCAAAGATATCAAGTCATAAACTTATTACAAGAACGAGAAACCAGACAAGCAAGTACGAGGTCTGTAACGGAACTTAAAACACACGTGTCGTCACCTAGACATCAATTTGAGAGAATCCAAACAACATGAATAAAAACTCTAAAGAGACAAAGGGGAACTTACGGGCGACAATTGGCTGAAGAGTACCGGGGAAGGAAGGAAGGGAGATACGGTTGATGACGTCAGTGGAGGGACCCTGCGAGATTCTTAAGCCGCTGAGCTGAGAGCTGAGGAAGCCGAGCTCTGTTGGTTTAGCGGCTGACTTCGAGGGTAAGGAGACTCGTAATCGTAGAAAAGCCCCTTGCGTCGCCATTGTCGTCATTCTTTTTTGGCTTCCCTCTTGTGTTGTTACTCTGCTTCGAGAGGATATTGGTTGGATAAAGAAGAAGATTGGCTTTTTTTTCTTCTTTTGGGCATTTATTTATTTATTTTAGACAAGGAAGCAAACACTCTTACTCATCCAGAGGGTTACCTTCTCTTAAAACCTTTTGTTTTCGTGATGACCGGATAGCATGTATATAAAAGATTGTTATCAGAAAAACAAAACCGAATAGCCACCAAAACAAACGTTACGGTTTCAACTTTCACTTCTTTAAGATTCTTGAATGGACAAAAGTAACGAGACACAGATGGTGATTACAAACCAACCTGATCCCTCCTAATGATTTACAAAGAGATACTTTCAAGGGTTTTTAAATTCTTCGATGCTAATGTATCTTTGAAACCATTACTTCTGCGTCGTCAGTCGTGAATTAGCCGAGAGCCAAAGGAATTGCTTAGCTCTCGCAACAGCTGCTGGAGGAAACTCTGCTGGGTCTAATCCGTTGGTTACTCAACGAAGTGGCAGACCTTTGGGTGCTCTTCTTGAAAAGGTTTTCACAATCTCTGGAACTACTATAAGCCTTGTGTTTAGTCTAGTTAATAAGCATTGTAATCACCCTAGGTGACTTGTAATTAATTGTATGTGCTCAGCAATCATAGTTGAGTTTAGCTAGAGAGCTACCAGCCTAAAAGCTAATTTAGGCAGAAGTTTGCTTTGGGCGTAAGAGTGTTTCCTGTAAAACAATATTAATCTAGCAACCTAGCTCAGGTTCTTAGTTTTTTTAATTAAAGTTAAGAGACGGGTTATTATAACTTGCTAAAAATCTCGCCTTAAGAACATAATTAGGATTTGCGCTCAATCCAAGAAACCTATTTAATAGAATTGAAATGTAACATGAATTGAATGGAACTTTATTAAATTTTTGATTGAGTAGCATCTTAGAGTGTATGCAGTTCTCTGTGAGTTAGAGCTTAAGACAGAGAAATGGTTTCACAAAAGTAACGTTTTTAAAATCAAAGGTGCGAACCAAATACATAACATGGACATGGGGTGAAGGGTGTAAGTGTGTGTATACAACAACCCTTAGAGCACTTGCATCAGTACCTGTTTTTTTTTTTTTTTTTTTTTTTTGTTTACTTTTTCAAAAAAAAAAAAAAATAATAATTGGACCAATGGGGAGTCGCCACGTGTCGTGGCGCCCCCATGACATCATCATGACGTCAGCGAACCCGGTTCATACAGAAGAGGTGAGAGGAGATGGGTTCCTCGGGAAACGTGCATACTCTCTCTATGAACCCCATTAAAACCCCCCAATGCGAGTGCTCTTATTTATTGTTGAACGACACAGAATAGGTAAAAAAGGAAGACTACACATAATACAAGGAATAACGAGAGAGAGAGACGTTAAAAAGTCTTGAAACAAAGGATACACAGCATAAGATTAAGTCCAATTACGGATCGGAAATCTGAAGACAACGCACATACTCGGGTATACAATTCTCTCGTACATCCTCATTTCAGCATAATATTCACTCTGGTTTATCTAAAGAAGGGTCATCAGAAAATCATATCATCAATAGGTTTGAAATGCATAGATTATGGGACTCATCTCAAACTAGTGTTAGTGTAAAAAAAAAACTTACCACTTTAATACCACTCCTTGGTATAAAGATAGGAAAATTAAACACGATAGGACCAGGTGTAACAGGGCATGCCGTCACATCACAGAGGGAATATGTTTTTTGCACCCAATTAAGAGCCGATGGCCCACTGAGCGCACGGAACAACACATTTCCCGCTGTTCTGTTGTTAAAGTCTGCTCACACCAAATATTTGAAAAGTTTGACTTGCCAGTAAACCATCAGAAAAAAAAAAAAAGGGAGAAGAGAATTGCTTACTTGTAACAGCGGTTATCGTAAAGGTTGCATTCTCGCCAAGACCAAGCGGATATGGATTGACATCAACACTAGTGACATTGACGTGACGTACGCCGTTCGATACCCCGCAGTTCGTAAAATTGACGAAGGCGCCCAAAGCAGCTGGTAAGAAAAAAAGTGATAGAAGAAGAAGAAGAAGCAAAGGCTGTAAGCCGTGAGATATGGCCATTGATAATTTAGCTTGATCTAGATCGTTTCAGTAGATAGATATTCTTTTTTTCTGTTTTGTTGTAATTTGTAGTGTATTATATGCATGCCTTGTAATTTGTAGTGTATTTATATGGTTTTGATATATTATAATCTCTCACATGCATGCCTTTGAATTTGTAGTGTATTATATGGTTATGATATATTATAATCTCCCACATTATACGCAATTATCATAAAAATACATGTATGTATATGGATACACAGAGAATAGTCCTACCGATAATTTATATATATTTTTTAAAAATAGAGATATACAGAGATATTGTCTACAGTCTACCGACAATTTATATTTGGCAGATCAATCCAAAAATCAGTTGACCAAAAGTTGATATTGTTTACTTTGGTTTTCACACATACGTACGGTTAACTGTTTTCTTTTTAAAGACTAAATTAAGATTGGCCATGGTTTTTAATTGTGTTTACATTGTGTTAGCATATTACTTTTAGATATTTAGGCAACAAAATGATATGCATCGTTTTATGAAAATTTAATCACCCATATGCAACAGACAATAGGTACGAATTCAGGAAAACTGTATAAGAAAACGTTCTTTGATGCCTAAATATCCCAATGTCTTATTCTAAAACAGTAAGGAAACTTCAATTTACATTATTACATTAAAAAAAAATGTTACATATTAATCAAAACTAAGCATTTCAACAAAATATCAATTGGAAGAAGGAACCTTCGTTTAGCAGCAGCAACATCATCAGGACCAACCCTATAGTACTCGCTTTCAATTTGATACAATACGGTGTATTTGTATCTTCTTCAGTTGCAGCTCAACGTGTGTTTTCTCTGCGGCGAGAGTAACGAGTTCTATCATTGTATCTCGGTCTATCTTGCGCTCTCTGAGGCTGCGGCTCAACTCTTCTCTGCCTCTCTGGTGATCGTTGCACTATCTCTCCATTCACAAACAGCTCCGCTGCAAAGTCACAATTAAGAAGATACAGATCAGGAACTATAAGATCTATGTGACTGTTCTTTTCGAGTAATCGTTGAGTCTATGTTCCTCGTAAGAACAAGAAGGGGAGAATATGGATGTGAGTCCATTAACATTCAAAGCTAATCATTGCCAGAAAAAGACTCGTCAACTTTGCCAAGATGGTCTTTAAGCAATAACTTTCTTGGTTAGGAAGAGAAATGTTAGTGGCTATGTATGTTTTTTTGACATCTAAGACCAGTCTGCACTTAATACATTAGCATCAAACTAGTCACACTCAAAAGACTCACTAACTTGGGAAAGATGGACTAACTAAAGCACAAAGAAAAAGAGAAAAACACTCAAAACTGCATGCAACAATGTTTCCGTCTCAACCAGCTTGCAGTTAGATATATTATTAGCTAAGCGAGAAATAATTTATGTTAGTCTACTAGCATTCAAAGCTAATCAAAATTATGTACGTAAGGAACTTAGGAAGAAAGAAAATAAAGCTAGCAATATATATTTTCATGATTATAAAGAGGGACAATGTTAATGTTAGTGTTAGTGGCTTATGTATATATTTTTCCATCGAAACTAATCACACTACAAAAACTCACTAACTTCAGTAAGATTAACTAACTAGCACAAAGCAAACAAGGGTTACAACATATGTTTCCATCTCAACCGGCTTGCAGTTAGATACAATATTGCCTATCTGCAAAAAAAAATCGGCTAAGAGAAAGAATTTGATGTCAGTCCATTAGCATTCAAAGCTAATCATAGCCTCAAAAAGACTCATTAGCTTCGCCAAGATGGACTTCTAATCAAAAATCATTGTCGCGTTACAAGAGAGAAAAAGCACCAAGGATTACATGCATTATATGTTTTCTTTTAAACCAGCTTGCAGTTAAATACATTACTACTAACTATCTGAACATATTACTTAAGAGAAAAAAATGTCAATCCACTAGCATTCAAAGCTAATCATCATAACCAGAAGAATCATTAGCTTTGCCACGATGGACTAATAAAAACATTTTCTTTCATGTTTCAAGAGAGGCACACTGAGACTAGCTGAATAGTGACTATCAAAGATTTCATTTTTATATTTAAAAGCAAATAAAAAAAAACTACCTCCATAATCTTTGTTCTCAGGATCCACGTAGGAATCTGGAAGCACAAACAGAACACCAGGCAAACCTGTCGTAAACAAAAGAAACACCCTTTATTATTATTACTCAACACAAAGCTAACATAAGAGACAAAGTGTAAGTAAGTAAAGAGTTAAAAACCTTCAAGCTTAGTAGAAGTCTCTTCATCAATCTCACACCCAAACCCTAAATACCTCTCACAAGAAACATTATAAATCCTCTTCTTCGCCTCTTCCTCACTTCACAAACACAAAACAAAACATAGTAAATAAACACAAAGGAGGAATCATAACAACATATTATATTTTACCTTCCAACGACTTTGGCTAACGTTTGGACGTAACAATCAATCATCTCCTGCTTCGTCGCTCCCTCGCCGCCAGGCTTATCCATAACAATCAGCCAGTGCTCGTAATCGCATCCCGGAAACAGAGGCGCCATCTCCGTCGGAGGTCGGTCGCTGAAGTTGGAGCCGGAGTTCAGCGGCGAGTATGCGGAGCCTGACCGGTTAGCTCGGGATCGGATTGAGGTAAACCGGGTCGAGCAAGATAGCCGAGATCCAACGCAGCGAACGGAGAAAGGAAGCTTGGGAGGTGCCAATAAGGTGGTACTGGGAAGGAGGGAGCGCGTGAGGTGGCGCGTGCCGGAGATAGGCAAGGCCATTGTTGGCGACTGAGGAAGAGAGGTGGGAGTGAAGGAAGGGTTTGGAGGTTTAAAGTGGATAGGGTTTTGGTTGATTTATTTATTTTTTGCTCTTGTTATATAGAATGGGCTTCACATAAGTTGGGTTTAAGGCCCGTATAATATAAAATTTTTATACTCCTAGACATGGGAGTATTACACAACACTAGACATGGGAAAAAAATATGAAACCCTCACTAGCCTTGGACAAAACAAACGGAACCGAAAAACCAAATCGGAACTGAACCAAAATACCCGAAACTGAAATCAGACTGAAATTTTTAAATACACGAATGATTTTTATATTTTTATATCCGAATAATCGAACTAAAAAACACAAACGAGAACCGAACGGGTATCCGAATAACAAATTTAAGCTTTTTAATATAATATAAAATGACATCAAACTCACTTGAGCCCATATTGGACAGGAAGAATGAGAATATTGTTACTACGAAGCTTATCTTTTATCTATTTTCTTATATTATAAATATATATGATGTTTATATATTAAAATATAGTAAATCTGTATAAAATTAACACTTTATTTATTCGAATACTTGTTGGATTGATGAATATGTAAGCGTGTAAACACTAGACCATTTTAATTAACATATTAACTAATATTATATACATATATATGATTTATATATTAAACGAGTATTCCGAAACCAAACTGAAATCGAACCAAAATCTTATAAGTACTTGTTAGATATAGAAAATGATTTATCTGACATATCCGGAAATGAATACCTGAATATCCAGACCTAACTTTCACAATGCAAACTGAAAATAAAAATTGAATTTGTATTGATCCAAACGGTAAAAATACTTAAATGGATCCCAAACAGTTGCATAACCTCAACTTCAAATTTAGGGTCCAATCCCCAACATAAGCAACTGCGGAACAATTGCGTTGTAATTTTAATAGTAATATAAACATATCTTTTATATAGAGATTTTTGTTACTATTAAATACGGTGTAATTTGTAAACATTCAAAAACTTAATAGATATGAAAATCAAAAGGATGTCTATGAAAGTGAAACCAATTTTTTTAAAAAAAATTCTGATCCGAATCCGACTAAATATTCAAATGTCAATGCCTAATACTTATGAACAGATATCTAAAAAAAAATAAACAAATTTTCATCCGAAGTAACTCAATTAGACACAAACTCTCTTGACTTCAAACTCTGTTACAATAAGAAAACAAAAATAAATAAATTATTACAAATCAGTCGAAAATGATCACACTTTGTAGCTCTTTGACACAACAAATTTTCACTGTCTCTCACAAATACAAACGTTTTTGCTTTTCTGAGTTGAATACTTCTCTTTCTCTCGCTCTTTCTCAACTTCTCACCTCCTTTTAGGCAATTGAAACGACTTCTTGAGAAACTGATTAGCAACACGATCGTTTCTATGACAAAGAACCCTCAAAATAGTATTCGGATCCGACCGGTTCCACCTTCCCGTTGTCGGAGGCATCGGTAGCTTCTGTTGTCTTGATCCAACCATCCCCATCCCACTTGTCTCACACGTCACAATGCTAAAATCTTCCATAAGCTGCTCCGTAGGTTGACTCATCAGCTGAATCACACCTTCCACAGTCTCCGCATCTCTATCAACAATATCCTCTGGTATCAACCCTTCACCACAAGTACAGAAAACCCTCTTCAAGTTCTCGAAATCTTCCTCTATCAAACCATGATCCGACCTGTAAAACACTCTCGAAAACCCTCCCGCGAGTAGCACCATCATAAACGCTTCAAAAGACGACTTCATAACCTCCCTCATCGCTAGCGCTTGAGCACGGTCCGCGAGAATCGCTGACATTAACGTTAAGTTCTGTTTCATGATCCGTAACGCCGGTCTGATCCTCGTGTTCGCGACTTCTCCTACGTAAAGACTCTCGTAGAGAACAGAGTTCGAGTCGAGGAAGATCAAACGGTAAGCCGCGACTTCTGAAACGTGCTGGCATGCGGATTCGATGCCAGCGTAGGTGAAGTCGAAGTAAGAAGAGGAGTTGTTGTTTCGGTGGCGGTAACGTTTTCGGGTCGCGGGGAGGACCCTCGGGTTTAGAGAGAGGGTTTTGTTTAGTGAGTGGATATGTGAGCTTAGGAAGTGTAATGTGTTGAGACGGATGTAGAGACGTTGTGTGCCGCGGCTTGTGGATGGTCGTGGATGGTGGCCGTCGGATAACGCGGGAGCGGTGTGGCTAAAGTCTTCTCTGACGGCGGTACATAGTGTGGCTCTTTTCCATAGTTTATTGAATCTTGAATCTCTGTTGCATCTTGTAAGAGGAGGTAATGTAGGAATGTAACTCTGTCTTGAACCTGACATAACCAAATATTATAGATTAGCCCTTAGATTTATACCTGAGCCTAACCGAAATTTTCAGGTTTTGGTTCAGAACCGGTTATGGGTTCGGTTCAGTTTGGTAAGCTTCTTAAAAACCAAAAAAAAAGCTGATCCTAACTAACAAAAATAGCTGAAGTAGCAAATTTTTGAGATTCTAACAAACTTAAACCAAAATATAACCGAAACAAAAACAAATCGGTTAATTTATGCATATAATTTTAAAAACCAAAATAATGATTAGAACCAAAAAAATCGTTCAATTCGGTGAAACTGTGACCGAACCGAACTAATCATAAACCCAATTACTTAACCCGAATGAACCGAAACCGCATGCCTTATTAGATAATCAAATTAGATTGTAGCTGTGTTTCTCTTCAACTCGAAAGATGTTATTTGATTTTAAACTTACCACAAGATGCAACAAAGGTAGTGTATTCTTGGAAAAGTTGTTCTAATCCTTCAACAAGATCATGAACTAGATCCTCTGTAATCCCAATAGGGATTTCAAAGAACTCATCAATTATTTCCTTGGCTAGCTTCATTAACTCTCCTGCAGATTGTGCGTACGGTTCTGATTTGGACTTAGGGTTCCATGTCTACAAAGAAAAAAATTCAACCACCCATAGTAAGTTACCAAAAGACATCAAAGTAACGTTTTAAAGTGTTGCAAGTAGTGCACAAACAAAAAAGTGTTGCAAGTACTATCTTTAAAACTTACTTCAGTTTCTTTTGCTCTAAACAAACATTCTTGAACTCTCTTCAAATTCTCTTCAATCCATTGCCTTAAAAGCCGCAATATAATCGAATCAACTTCATAAGGAACCATCTCTTGAACCAACCCTTTGCCACCGTCGTCCCATTCTTCTGAATCTTCAGCCACCATCTGCACCAAAACCTTCTCTAGTTTCCCTGCTGTTAGCAAAACCTCAACAGTATCTCTCGAGATAAACGATCTCCCTGCCAAATACTGCATCAAGATCGAACCATAGCACTGGTGAAGCGACACCGAGGCAACACCAGCAGCAGCTGAGTGCCATCTCTTGAGTATGGGACTAAAACATTCACGTTCTCGTAACGCTAACTCCTCTGTTTCCTTGGCTAGATGTAATAGTGTTGCAGCCGCTTCTTCTCCTTCCTCTGTAGCAAAGATTTTAGCCTTTGTGTTCTCTATCACCTACAAAGAAAAAGATTCCATAACCTTAAAAGATCGTAATGTTTATTAATTTATCGAGTATTAATTATAGTTTGTACTGTACCTTAGAAAATGCGGTTTTAATAGACGCTCTTATGTAATAATCAACACGGTCTCCTGAATAATCAATTAATTTAACGTCGCCTTTCCCTTGAGAGATTGTCACATCCTCTCCCAAGATTCTTGAAGATGATAACGCTAATGGGAGAAGATTCTCTATCAACCCCACATTGCCTCTTTGGAAATAGTCATGGTAGCTTAACAATCTATAAAGAAACCACAACCACATTTAGACTTCAAACGTTTTAAATCAGTAACTTATATAGCAAGAAATAAATAAACAAAAAACCTTTTCTCGGTCCATCCTTGCATAGAGGCTAATGTTGAGGTCAGTAGTTTCACATAGAGAGCTTCACGGTCAAGTTTCTTAGCGTCATTAGCAACTTCAGCCAACATAGCATGTGATGCACCAAGCAAGTCTGGTTCCATTTGTGACGTTACTACGTATTGATGAAACAAAACCCAAGTGAAACATAGATTATGCACCGGTCTTGTGATCCCTAGTGTTGACCAAGTTTTCTTCATTAGCTCCAAAAGCTCATCGATCTCATCTAGCACCAATGTCTCGTCCCTAACATCGAATATCGACTGCAATAATGCTACGTAGAGATGAATGTTGAGAGGGTAACCATCAGCCCAGTGACAAACATCGCTAGGGTTTCCATTAGTGCTGCGCCAAGATAGAGATACAACTACGTTGCATAGTGTTCTCATTGCGTCTGAGGTTTTGCTCGTGTCGATGGGTTTTTTCTCGCTTTGTCTAACGATTTCTCTTAAACGCATTGCGTAGTTGTTGGTTTTGTCTAGAGGAATCGATGGGTGTAGGAGAAGACCAGCTTCAAGGACTTTGAGTTGTCTTCTTTGCCAGAGATGGTACTCGGGGTCATCGCCGAACTCTGATGTTTTCAAGTGTCGGAGAAGCTCTAACGGTAATATGATCGTCTCTGCTCTTCTACCCGTCTGAAAAAAGAATCAGTTTTAAGTTTTTTTTTTTTCAATAACTTGTGAAACAAGTAACCAAATCGATCAACTTACTTGACCAACAAGCGTTCTCAATAAGGTTTTTCTAAGACGGCTATCACTCTGTTCTGTCACCCTCATTTGTTGCCTCATGATCTCCGCCGAAGTTAACGGTCTTCTAGGTCGAGTAGGCTGAACCGTCAAGAACCCGGCTCCAGGACTAGCATGTCCTGAGCTATTTCCACCACCTGGTGACAATGAACTTGCCCCAGCTCCTCCAGCCACTCCTATTGTAGACATTCTCCTAGACGGTGACCTTTTAAGCATCTTCAAACCTAAAGCCCGTTTAACCCGGCTTGTAGGGGTTGTCACCACCTCTTTCCTCCCTGAAAACCCAAACCCTGAACCACCATTTGAGCCACCTCCTCCTCCTCCTCCTCCTTCTCCATGATTGTCATTGTTGTTGTGCGTAGAGTAGAACGTGAGAGCAGTCCTACCTCCAAACCCTGGTGATGACCGACAAGCCGTGAAGAAGATCTCGTAAGCCGTCTCACGGATATCATCATGATTAAGACCGTTAAGCTTCCCAAATGGCCAAAGAAGGTCTGTGTTAGGACAAAGCACCGTGGAACCACCTCCCATGTTAGAGATAGTCACCGAGAAGGACTCACGTCGGTGATGATGGTTCATGGTGGAGGAGGAAAGGGGGTGGAGGGAGAACTTTTGGACAGGATTTTTATGAAATTAGATTGTCCCAAATGAGAGGAAAGAGGGAGAGAGATGATGACATTTCTTTGTTTTAAAAATAAGGCAAACGCGTGAGAAACAAGAAACAAGAGGAACAGAGAAGTAAGTGGTAGAGGAAGGAGACAAGTTGGAAAAAAAAGGTAATCTACAGCAAATTTTTCTGTGCTGTGAGTAAAAATAGGAATATGCACAAAATAGTACTATAATTAGAAAATCTTCTATTTATAGTAAATATTGTGTAAATCATTATATTTGTGTAGTATAGATAGTTGACAGCATAACACAAGGTTGTTGTAGTGTTCTTCCATGACACAAAGAAACATTTGGTTGTGAATCTTGACAGTTTCCTCTTTGTAAGTTGTAGCACTCTGCTTAAAATCCAGAGCTAGCTGGTTTGTTGATGTGCTCTCAGAGATGAGAGAAAAAGATTCAGAGACTAGAAAGAAGAATCGGTTTGGATTAGAGAATCTAGAGTTGAGAATCTGATGAACCCATCAATGAAAAAAGAAACACCCTCAGTGACCTCATATTATAAAAATCCAAGAAACAATTTAAATTGTACATATCAACAGACAACAAAACCATTGACAATATCTTGAGAAGCCTTGAGATTTATTACATGATTGCTCTTCTATATGTTCTGCGTACAAGGAGAAGCAAAAATATATGTAATCCTAAGTATGTCGCTCTATCTAGGTTATTTCCAGGCTACAGAAAGAGGAAGAACATTGATCCAAGTTGCAGACTTACTTCCCATGGAACCTTGCACAAGTTTCAACAGCGACCAAACTACTAATTTAATCACAGGTCTTGTGTTGTATCGCTCTGCAGAAAACACAAGATCTTGGGACCGTGCACTTTCCTGGTTTTCAACTCATTGCAAACTTTTTGACAGCCATGTGTCTCCCCTCCTGTAACAACAGGCACAGACATGTAGAGACTAGTTATGTCTACAACCTGAAAGTGGTTTATTACAGCTACTGCTACCAGTCCCAATAAGCTTTCTTAGAGCCCAGTGCCCTCCAAGCAGAAATGTTCATCTTATAGAAGAGATGCAAAGCAAGAATCTTGAAAGGAACAATCAAAAGAATAAATGCAACAAAGAAAGATGAATAAGTGATAAGTTATTGTTAAACACAAACACTAGCATAGAGAAAGAAAACCATTTCAAAAGCGACAAATATAAATAAGCACGCATACTTAAAGAAACTACAACTTCATACGAAATACTAAGTACGACTCAGTATCAAGGGTGCCTGAACAACTTATTAAGAAACTAACAAAAGAGATAATCCAGGTCAAACCGCCCCAGAAGTGTGCCATCCTTAAGGCGGAAAGAGGATAAGACCACAATGTAGTAGTCTTTCTTCCTCCAATCACTGTTGCAGAGCTTGATTACCACTTCCATAACCTCCACCATAACCACCTTGCCCGTTCCCTTGGTGACTCCCATATCCTCCAGAGCCATCTAAAGCATCAGGATAGCCACCGCCATAGCTGTTAGGCCGCCCACCAACTGCACCATAACCAGATGGAGCTCCATAAGAAGAATCATTTGCACCATACCCATAACCTGCAGATGCACCTGCTTGACCCATCACTGCTGAACCAGGACCAGAACCGCCCCACGGAGCACCAGCAGCAGCATTTCCATAACCCACATTACCATAACCTGATGGTGCTTGACCTCCCCAAGAACTTCTTGGACCACTTCCAAACCCAGCTCCAGGGACACCAGGGTTCCCATAAGGCGCAGCACCAGATGGATTCCCATACCCTCCAAAACCCCCATAACCTACACCGTTACTGCCATAACCATAACCAGTAGTACCATATCCAGAACCACCATAAGGAGGATAACCACTCCCAGCGTTTTGTGGCGGCATATATCTACTCGAATCAACACGACCCTCGTATCCACCTCCACCACCATATCCCGGGAAACCACGACCACCACCGCTGGCTACTCCAGGATTAGCATCTTTAGGAAGAGCTCTTTTAACTTCTACTTGTTTACCATTCAAATCGTGGAAAATCTTGTGCAAAACAAGGTCAACAGAATCTTCAGAATCAAATGAAACAAACCCAAACCCTCTAGGCCGTTGCGTAGTCTGGTCAATCATAATCACCGCATCACTCACAGGACCGTAAGTCTCGAAGTAAGCTCTAAACTCATCTGATGTTAACGCAGGAGGCAAACCTCCCACGAATATCTTCTTAGTCCTGACGTTAGCTCCACTATCAAAACTCCTAGACGCACTAAAACTACCTGGTCTACTACCACCAGGGCTCTGCTCTTCTCTAGACATTGCTCTCTTCACATCAACCTAAAATGGTAAAGAGTAAAGGTTAGATTTTTATGATGGTAATGTCAATAAGATTCAAAATTTAGAGAAACCCAATTGGAGAAACAAAGTTAAAACAAGAAAGGTTTGAACTTTTTTTACATCTCTATTATCGATATGGTGCTTGTTTTGAAGAACCCTATCAATGACGGAGGGATCGGAGAAGGAAACGAATCCGAATCCTCGAGGACGACCTGTAGCTTTCTCTCGCATGACGGTCACTTGCAAAACCTCGCCGTAATTGGTGAAGTACTCTCTCAGGAGATTCTCGTCGGTGTCCCATGAAATCCCGCCGATAAATAGCTTTCCCTGATCTGATTCCATCGCTATGCTTCTCTACTTATACCCAGAGATTCGACACCGACGAAGCTCCCCGGTGAAGAAGAGGTTGAGAGAAAATTAGGGTTTGTGAAATCGAGTTAGAGAGAGGAGAACAGACTTGGGAAGTAGCTATAGCCAATGGGGTTAAAGAGATTCGTTCCAAAAAAAAAAAGAGTTTATTAATTATTACTGAAAAAGCTTTTTAGATACTACATTTAAAATTTTTACAGAAAAAGAAAGAAGTAGATATTTTTTTTCAAAAAGTTACAGAAAAAGGAAGTACTGTAGATATCTCTATAATATTATTTGAGAAGTCAGTTTCCTATGTGGCGCGCTCACGTTGACTCTTACACCGGTTGATTACTATGATACCCTTGATGAATATATTTAAATAGTATATTTAAATAATATTATTAATTTTATGTTTAGTTTCCTTTTTAAAACATTCCAAATAACTTTTATAATAAAAAGGAAAAAAACTATTAAATTTAAAAACGAAAATATATGTTTATATAATATGATTTCATTAAAAAGGAAAGTTCACAAAATAGTAATATACTATCAAAATAGTAAAATAGTATTATTAGTTTTGTATTTAGTTTCCTTTATAAAAATTTCCAACTAAAATTTATAATAGAAAAAAAACATCATAAAATTTAAAAGGAAAAATTAAAAACGAAAATATATGTTTATATAATATGATTTCATTAAAGGGAAAATTAACAAAATAGTAACATCCATTAAAAATATTTTAAATAACATAAAATGTACTTTTTAATTAATAAAATACTTTCTTTATATCTGTATTTTCTTATATGAAAATATATATTTTTATATAATGTGATTTCATAACAAAAAATTCACACATATAATAATTTTGATATTTGAAAAAAAAAATTTACTTTTAAACATAATTTTAAGTAACATAAACAAATATATGTTTTTATTAACTAAAATATTTTTTAATTAAAATTATTGAATATTTATTTATTTTAATATATTTAGTTGACTGTAGTATCTTTCAACTAAAGCAAAAAAACAAAATATCTATAAATTAAATTTTACTTATATAATATGATTTCTCAAATACAACCACAATTTTTACTGCTTATTTTTAAGAGAAATTAAAATACTTTTTAACAATAAACATCTTTTAATCAAATAATTAAAAAATATTTTAAATACCACTATATACTTTAATGACATAGATATGTTATATTCTATCATTATTTAAATTATATGTTTCTTAATTTTAATTTTTTTTTAAAAAATTATGTTTGTGTAACTTAATATAACCATAATAAAAATACCAAAGCACATCCGAATTCTCATTTTTTAGATTATTTAAAATAATTTCAGTTTATCATTCAATAAATCTAAGATATCAAATTATTTAGAATTTATAAAATATTTTAGTTATTGTAAATATTGATATGTGTTCATGAATCTCCAAAAATTTATGAGTTACTTAAGTATATAACTTCCTACTGATTATTGCTTTATTTTCTACTATATTTTAAAGAAACATATAACTTGATAAATATTATGAAAATACGTGCACATTTAAATGATAAATAATATTACTTTAATTTGATTTATTTTGTGAAATTTATATATATGCATGAGACTTCAAAGATTATCTTTT